CCATCCCATGCGGGAGTGGAACCAGCAGCCTTGTTGTTAAGAGCGCACGCTCTATCCACTGAGCCATCCAGGTGGCAGCTCAGCTCAAGGTGCCGAGTTCAGTCTTAGTTGCGGGTGGGCATAGCCCACCATCGAACAGGCAATCTTGTTGTTACACCAGCTGAGCCCTCCTGCCATCTGTTGGCAGATCAGCGACAGCTCAGCTTGGGTGCAGTATCATTGGCCCATGCGGGAATCAAACTGGCGGCCCCGTTGCTCAGAGCCCATGCTCTTAAGCCAGCTCTTAACCAACTGAGCCACTCGGCTGACCCATAGATACATCATTTTTAGTTGTTCGGTTAACTGACTTTTTTCTATACATTAAATATTTAAGTATCTTACGAAAAAATGGCAATATTTTTTATTTTTATGTAGCAGTAAAATGAAAAAGCTAAAATCCCTAAATGTAAGGAAGTAAGACGTATACTGTTGACCTTATGAGTGAAGTAGAGGTCATGTGCACAGCCTAAGGTTATTCATGATATGTCAGGAATCCACTCTATTAACCCTATTACTTTTCTTAATCCAGAGAGTAAAACTCAACCTTATTTAGGCTGATATGTAGAAGATAAAACAGTTCTCAGGCTGTATCATGTCGTCCATGTGAGCATATTAGAATCTTATAAATGGTGGCTGTATCACTTTTTATATTTACAAAAATGAGACATATATTTTAAAAGATTAGGAAAACTGCATTAGGTATTTCCACATTTAATTTTAATGATTTAAAATAGCCTAATTGCAATAAAATCTTGTGATTGTTTTAAAAAGGGACTATAAAGAATACGATAACAACAGCAATAACAACTCCCTTGTAGTAAACATTTTACATACACTGTCTTATTTATTCTTCATAACAACCTTATGAGGTAGGTATTAATATTGCCATTTGATAGATGAGACTACTGAAGCTTAAAATGGTTACGAAACTTGCCTAAAGACACATACTAGTCATTGGCAGAGGAAATGTGCAAATCCAGGTTTAATGCATATGAGAAAGTATAGGGCCAGAAGAAGATTCAGGTACCACCACATTTACGTAGGGTGACGGTTCTTATTTTCTACCTCTAGCCCAGACCTTTCTCTTGAACTTTAGATTCTTTAGGTAGGCTGCTGGATCATCTGCTCTTGGATGTTTACTAAGCATCTTAAACTTATCATGTCTAAAAGCATAATGTTTTTTCTCCATTAAACATGTTCTTTTTATATAGCCTTCTTCATTTCAATAAATGACAACTTTATTCTTTTAACTGCTTAAGATAAAAACCTTGACTTCATCTTAATCTTATCTCTCTCTCATACCCATATCCAGGCTATCAGCACATCCTGCTAGCTCTCTCTTCAAAACATGTTCAGAATCCCACCATTTCTCAGTATCTCCACTACTACTACACTTGGCTAAGACACCATCATCTTTTGCCTAGAGTATTTTAATAGGCTCCCAAATGATCTTTCTACTTCTACCTCTGCCCACTTTGAATGGTCTCAACCTAGCAGCTAGAGTGAGCCTTTTAAAACACAAGAGAGATGATGTAATTCTGCTCAAAACCCTCTTGTGTCTCCCCATCTTACTCAGTAAAAGCCAGAGTCCTTATAATGACCTACAGGCTGGTACATGATCTAAGCTCTTTTTACATCCCTTCATCTCCTACTACCCTCCCTTTTGCTAGTTCAGCCCCAGCATCATTGGCCTCTTTGCTTTTTTCGAACATGTCAAGCTTGCTTCTACCTCAGGGGCTTTGCACTTGCTATTCCCTCTGCCTGGAAAACTTTTCTCCCAGATATCTGCTGTGCTAGCGACTTCACTTTGAGGACTCTGAACAGAGTGGTTTTCCTTGTGTGACATATGTAAAATAGCAATCACTCTACCCCCAAAACTATCTCTTCCCTTTATTCTGCTTAATTTTTTTTCCATAGAACTTACTACCATTTGATATATCTAGTTGTTTATTTTTATGTCCTATCTTGATGAGAAATTCTTTATCCTCTTTATAAGCTTAAAGATGGAGATGTGTTCCTTATGTCCCTAAACTGGAAGCTCTGTGAGAGAATGGACTGTATCTGGCTTGGCTTGTTTACATCACTATATTCACCTAGTGTCATGTAGTTCCTGGCTGAATGAGTGCCTTTTAATTTTTCTCTAGCAGAGAGACCAGCTTGCATTTATTGTGAGTATATGTGTGGGTGTTCACATCTATAGGAACTCCATATGATTATGTGATCCTACCACTGTACATTTTATAGGAATAGTTCTCCATCCATCTAAATACTGACCTTCTAAGCATTAGTTAATTTAAATCAGTCCATAGATTCAACATGATTGTGTTTGACCTTTCATAAATCCCAATGCCTCGTTTATCATGTGTATTAGCATGGCATAAAGAGATATAGAAGCATATTTTCCCCCCATTAAGTCTGCATGCAGCTATTAGAAGAGTTGAGTGGGAATGATGCAGTCTTTTGCTAAGATATAATGAATTAACCTGATGTAGTTTTAGATTATATCTTATGGTACTTGCAAAACATTGCCATTTTAAGCTTTGGTTATAAATTACCTTTTAAAGGACCATTGGATAGGACTCAGTAAACAAAAGTGGTTGAAAGTATTCAAGCATCAAATTGCACTCATCTAATATAAATGGCTCTTCCAAAGCTATACTTTGCAAAAATGTTGAATGACAGTTGAATTATTCACATACTGTGATGGCATAAATAAAGTCATTTCTGAGAATTATAAGCAACTATAAAAGACAAAATAATGTAAGGCACTAGATAAATTACTCAGTTATAAATCATTGAAAGAACTTAATTTTGTTTGGTCATTAACAGTAAAACCTTGAAGGTGTTGGAGATTATGAGACAAATGTTTATCATCCCTCTTCATATAGAGATGACTTCTGTTTTCCTCCACAGACACACAACCACATAATATTTAGTTCTAAAGAGATTGTTTCTATTCTTCCTGAAAATATATTGACAGAATTTAAATTAGAAAATTCATTCAGAAAATAAACAAAAGATACATATACTTCTGTTATTTTTCTTAAGTGATTTAGCCAAATTTGTTGATAGTAAATGCTGTGTAGTTATGTTGACCTTTAGTAATGAAAATAGAAGAAATAGTTGTAAAAATAATATGATATTATATACACTTTTACACACCTAATTATAAATGCCTTTTCACTTGGTCCAGTCTCATTAACATAATAAAGCTTGTATATTATGTGACACCAAGCTTTCATATCTTCATATGAAAGTAATACTTCAATAGAATTTTTTGGGAAAAGACATCTACAGTTGTTGTCTTGTTCTTCACAGGAAGGGAGGCAATAATAAGTTAATAAAGATCTATCATCGAGATGGTAAATATGGCTTTTCTGATCCTCTGACATTTAATTCTGTGGTGGAGCTCATTAACCACTATCACCATGAATCTCTTGCTCAGTACAATCCCAAACTTGATGTGAAGCTGATGTACCCAGTGTCCAAATACCAACAGGTATGATTACAGACGTTCTTGATAGCTATTCAGCAAGTCATTGTTTAACAACATAATTTGATTCTAATTTACCAGGCTTATCAATTAAAAGAAAAAATAAATCTAGTCATTTTTAATTTTCTACTGACTACTTAAGAATTTTAGAACTTAACTTTGTGACAACTATTTCTTAATAGCATGTTGCATGTATTTATTAACTTTATGTAGAAATACTTCTGTTTATATTTCCTATTTATACTTCATTTCTTAATTTTTAAAGTATTAACTATTTTGTTGTGATTTAAAGGCTGATCTTAGTGTTAAAAGGATTTAGTGCTTTTGAATGCTTGATATTAATACAGTGGCTTCAACTTAGAATAGAAGTACATTTTAAAAATAAATAGATGTGGAAAATTCATGTCAGAATTGTTATCATTCTTTATTTCTTTTGTTTACCTGTATAGGATCAGTTGGTAAAAGAAGATAACATTGATGCAGTGGGTAAGAAGCTGCAAGAGTATCACTCTCAGTATCAGGAAAAGAGTAAAGAGTATGACAGGCTATATGAAGAATACACTAGAACATCCCAGGTTAGTATATTTTTGTTGTTTAGGCCAATAAGATGCAATGTTATATTTACATCAGATTTTCTTTAATTCACCTGATGATCTTTAGCTGTCCTAATATCTTAAATAGCCTTTTTGAGACTTTGATGATACAAATTCCTTTCCCATTCATAAATCACTTTTTTTATTGGTTAAGGATATATTTTATATCAGTTAGTATTAACTAGATAAGGATTGACTGCAAGTGACAAAAAATAACAAAAAAATAAAGGCTTCAGATAGAAATTTACTTTTCTTTCATGTATAGACAGTGCAGGGGTGTTATGGCAACTCCACAGTCATTAGGGTTTAGGGTTCTTCTGTCTTGATGCTTTGCTATTTGTGGATGTTGGCTTACTCCAATATCAGTCATAACAACCACATTCTAGCAAACAGGAAGGAAGAATAGGAAGGCGAAAGGAACGTTCCCTATTTTTAAGGCTACTTGCTAGAAGAAACACACACTGCCTCCACTCTCCTCCCACTGGCTAGACATAGCTCCAGATCACAACAAGGGGGAGCTATGTCTAGCCAGTGGGAGGAGAGTGGAAGCCTTAGCCACTAGCAGGGGAGGCTAAGAAATCTAGTCTTGATTTGGTCAAGTGTGCCCAACTAACATTTGGGAGTTTACTGAGGAAGAGGGAACTAATGGAAATTGGGGGACCACTGGTAGTCAGCCACATAGTTTTTAGATTATAAACCTTCATAATATCACTTTTATCACATTTATGATATAAAGCAAAATTCTGAAGAATAATCTACCCTTTTCCTAGAACTGCTTTGATTCTTTTTAAGTTACACTTGGATTGGTTTAATTTGCTGTGAGTTGTTACTGTCTCATGTCCTTCAGCCTGAAGGAGCTCCTTTAGCATTTCTTGTAGGGCAGGTCTATTGGTAATGAACTTCCTCAACTTTTATTTATCTGGGAATATCTTAATTTCGCCTTCATTCTTTATTTTTTTCTCCTTTATTCTTGAAGGACAGACAGTATTGCCGGATATAGAATTCTTGGTTAACAGTTTTTCTTTCAGGACTTTAAATACGCTATCCTACTGCCTTCTGACCTCATCGTTTCTGATGAGAAATCAGCTCTTTATTTTATTGAGGATCCTTTGTACATGATGAGCTACTTTAGTTGCTGCTTTTAAGATTCTCTCTTTGTCTTTGACAATTTGATGATAATGTATAATACTTGATTTGTATATCTTTGTCTGTAGTTTATAATTGTTAGCTGTGAAAGGGTTAGTCAGCTCTGAACTATTTCAGTATTACTGTAACTCATGGTGCCTGTTCTGACCATTAGTATTTATGCTGTTGATTTTCCCAGCCCAAAGCCCTTGCTCTTACTTCAAGTTAGTGTCTGTGGTGGGCAATGTAAAGACAGAGACTGCACCAAGGACCTCAGGACCGGTGGGGCTGATTAGGGGTTATTGGCCTCTGCTGATTACAGATTAGTAATGAGATACGTACTGATTGGGAAAGGTATGGGATTACAGTGACCAGAAATGCTGTAATGGTCCGTTTTCTGCTATGAGTGTTTGGTTCCATTTTATTTTTCAGGTTTTCTTTTACTAGTTAATTAGTTATTCAGAATGATTTTAATAATTTTTTTCTTTCTATCTGATATTTATGCTCTGTGGTATGCCTCTCTCTGTGTGCATGCTTTTTTTTTCTTTAAAGATTTTTTATTGGGTAACTAGGGGGATGGGAACAGTGCTGGGGAATTGGGGGAAGGGGAACAGACAAGTTGCTGTCGTTTTGTTCTTCAGTCTAGTTGTGGAGGACGTTGCTT